GGAGTCAGGAGCTTCATCCAGGTCTCCCACGTGCACACAGGGGCCCAAGCACTCGAACCATCTTCTGCGGCTTTTCCAGGTGTGTTAGCAGGACGCTGAATCAGAAGTGGAGCAGCACCCACGTGGGAGACACAGAGGAAGCTCCTGGCTCCTGGCTTTAGATCAGTGCAGCGCCAGCCGTTGTGGTCAGTTGGAGAGTGAACCATTGGATGGAAGACCTATCTCTGCCTCTCCTCTCTCTGTGTAACTCTGACTTTCAAATACATAAATAAATCTTAAAAAAATTAAACAGGGGCCGGCACCGTGGCTCACTAGGTTAATCCTCCACCTGGAGCACCAGCATCCCATATGGGTGCCGGATTCTGTCCCGGTTGCTCCTCTTCCAGGCCAGCTCTCTGCTGTGGCCCAGGAAGGCAGTGGAGGATGGCCCGGGTACTTGGACCCTGCACCTGCATGGGAGACCAGGAGGGAGCACCTGGCTCCTGGCTTCGGATCGGCGCAGCGCCAGCCATGGCGGCCATTTGGGGAGTGAACCAATGGAAGGAAGACCTTTCTCTCTGTCTCTCTCTCTCACTGTAACTCCACCTGTCAAATAAATGAATAAAATCTTTAAAAAATTTTTAAAAAGAAGTGGAGCATCAGAGACTCTAATTAGTGCCCATTTAGAGTGCCAGCATCACAGGCAGCCGCTTAACCTGCTGTGCCACAACACCGGCCCCACTAACAGATTCTTAAGCAGCATACAAAATAAAGAACACATGTAGGCACCCGGCTAATACTTGGGGTGCCCTGTTCTGTCAAGTACAACAAAATTGCCGTGCACCATATCTGGTGTGCTGCAGGAACCCACATCCTTCCGGGTCTTCCTGGAGACTGGGGGGTAGGATGCCGCCGCTTTCTTTTTTTGAGATTCCTTTGGCTCACAGGTTCCAGCACCAGGTTTTACAACGCGTTGCAAACTCTGTTGAGTATCTAAGCAGGACAGATAGTGTTTATGTGTCACTATAGCAAGCAAGTGAGACTTGAATATTAGCTGTCTGTCCCTTGCAGTCAGTCCCTGCGTGGCTCATTCTCTCTCCTACAAGGCCTTCCACTTTCAGCTTCCCAGAATCAACTCCTGCCATGTCCTTATTCAGAGCACCTTACTTCTCCCTTCTCCCTGTGAGACTCCCTGTGCACTTCCTCGGCATGTCCAAATACGCTTGTGCTCACACCTTTGAACAATGGTGTGGTCATAGTCTGGGTCCTGAGTTTTTGTCTTGAACAGAGGCATTGAAACAGGCTTTCCCTCTATCTCCCTAACTTGTCTCTGAAATAGATGAAAATAAAGAGATTTACACATTAACACCACTCCCTCATCTCACACCAACTAAATCAAAGGATCTTGCGAAGTCTGACTTTTTTCATCAAAAAAAAAAAAAAAAAAATGTGTGGGGGCAGACATTTGGCCTAGTAGTTAAGACACAGTTAGGATGCCTGCATCCCATATTGGAATACCTGGGTCTGATACTCAGCTCTGGCTTCTGATTCCAGTTTCCTGCTAATGCACACCCTGGGAGGCAGCTGTGATGGCTCAAGTGGTTGGTTTGTGGAAGACCAGTGTGGTGCCCTAAGCATATAAAATGGAGGCAGTAATTTTTTACTTTGCAAGGGTGTGTTAAGGGTTCGATAAGGTAATGTGTTAGCCAATTGATCAGAATTAAGAGATACAGAGGTCTAATTGGTTAGGCAGCAATCTTAGAGTGGACAGTGAGAGAAAGAGACAAAGAGAAAGGTCTTCCTTCCATTGGTTCACCCTCCAATAGCCACCGCGGCCGGAGTGCTGCGGCTGGCACACCGAACTGATCCAAAGCCAGGAGTCAGGTGCTTCTCCTGGTCTCCCATGCGGGTGCAGGGCCCAAGCACTTGGGCCATCCTCCACTGCACTCCCGGGCCACAGCAGAGAGCTGGACTGGAAGAGGGGCAACCGGGACAGAATCCGGTGCCCTGACCGGGACTAGAACCCGGTGTGCCGGTGCCGCAGGCGGAGGATTAGCCTATTGAGCTGCAGCGCTGGCCAGGCAGCAATCTTCATAGAAGAAGCCAATAAAGTGGTTATTTCATATAGATGAAACAATGTAAAACACACCAAGGAGGACTTGCAATGGAGAGTCTATTTTTCCTGAAATCAATTATTTATGTGGTAAGAGGAAAGATAACAGATGGAAGAGTACTAGTTGAGAGGACAGTTGATGGGACTTAAATGATGCATCTAGGTTAAAATATAGTGAGGCACTTTGGTTTTTTTTTGTTTGTTTTTTGTTTTTTGTTTTTTGTTTTTGACAGCTAGAGCTAGACAGTGAGAGAGACAGAGAGAAAGGTCTTCCTTCTGTTGGTTCACTCCCCAGATGGCTGCCACGGCTGGCACTGCGCCGATCTGAAGCCAGGAGCCAGGTGCTTCCTCCAGGGGCCCAAGCACTGCACTCCCGGGCCACAGCAGAGAGCTGGACTGGAAAAGGAGCAGCCAGGACTAGAACCGGCGCCCATATGGGATGCCGGTGCTGCAGGCAGAGGATTAGCCAAGTGAGCCACGGCGCTGGCCCCAGCACTTTGGTTTTTAAGAGTTCTGAACAGTATTTTAGGATAATTCGTCCAGTGAGAAAGTCCATAGAATGGGTTAAGGTAGTGAGTAACTCGCTTAAGGCAGATTGTTAGGAATCTTGTATAATTCAAGCACAAATTGATTGGGATTTTGACTAAGGCTCTTCACTTAGCCCACCCCCAACCCCCTGCCGCCAAGTATTGTAGGTAATAAATTCACTACTTTGGTGCGAGATGCGTGCACGTGTGTGTGTGTGTGTGTGTGTGTGTGTAAGTCATGTGAGGAAATGCAGGATGCTGGCAGTGCAGAATCGCAGCTGTGGGTTGGGGAGACTTGAAGTTGATTAGCAGTGTGATGCCAACTGGCAGCCTATAGGCTAATAGATCAGTAAATCAGCCTACCCTGACCTCAAGTTTCAGCTCATCTTCATTTCTGTTAAGTAATTCAGTCCAAGATCTAGGAGGCTTGGGGACTGTCAGCTCCAGGTGGGACAGGCTATTTCTAGCTTCCATACTCACATCTAAATGGAAGAGTTGTTGTTTCTAGTCACCGTGTCATATAAAGGCCAGTGCTGCTTCTTTGCTATTCTTTTTGGTGCCTGTTTCATGACGATCGTGTTTGTCAACATCAAATGGGAATGACTCCTCCTGAAAGGGCACATTCTACAAAACAGCTGGCCAGCAGCCTTCAAAATGTCAAGGTCACAAAAAACAAGGAAAGAATGAGGAATAGGCACAGGTTGAAAGAGACTAAGAAGACATAATATAATTGGGCCCTGGAACAAAAAGTGATAGTGGAGGGGAAAAACTGATAAAATAGAAATAAATTTTGTACTTTAGTTAACAGTATTACTTCAAGACTAATTTGTTAGTTTGTTAATTGTCCTGGTATCATATAAAATGTAAAGCTAAGGTGAGAGGTTTGTAGAAATTCCCTGTCCTATTTTCGCAACTCTCCAAATGTTTAAAATTACCTCAAGGTAAAATGTTTTTAATAATGAAGTGACCCAAATTGAACAAACTTTCAATAAAGGTTATTTAAAAATTGTCTCTCTGATATAGAAAGAATATTTCCTACAGTTGGTGTAGTCACTTTGATTTTTTGCAGTTCTTTTCATTATTGCATGTTGAATAGGTAGAAGTTTGTAGCAGAAGTGTAAGTTGTACACAGTAACAACACAAGCGCCAGTGTAGCTTGAGGCTCTCAGTATTTTCCATCTACTTCTTACCTTCTCCCTAACCTCTCTTGAATTGTGTAGTTTTGATTTCCTTCTCTTCATAGGTTTACCTTGATGTATCGGTGATACAGCCCTAATGATATGGTTTCACATAATCTTTATATGAATTGAATTATACCATATATATTCTTCTGTAATTTTTTTCTCTAGATATTATACTCTTGATATTTACCAAAGCTGATGTCTATTACTGTAGCCATTCATTTTCACTGCTATACAGCTTTCCATTGTGTGCACATAGCATAAGTTACTTTTTTATTCTACTGTTAATAGTCATTTGGTTGGATTCTAGTTTTGCTGTCCCAAGCACTGCTACTTCACACATCCATGTATTTGACATATTATTAGAGTTTCCTCAGGGTATTCAATGTACCTAAAAATGGACTCAATGGGTTATTTGGTAAATACTTCATCAACTTTATTAGATAAGGCCGAATTGTTTTCCATAGTATTTATCTAATTTTTAATAGCACCAATAATATTTAATGTTAAAGTGGTTCCCCATTCTCCCTAATGCAATATTATTAGACTTATTTTTTTTTTTACCAAGCACCACTGTGGCAGGGAATTTCATGTACTACTTAATTTAATTCTCTCACAACTCTTCCATTTAAAGCCCCAGAATGGAGACTAATGCTGTTCTGCATTTTTATTAAATTTATTTATGTACTTTATTTGAAAGAAAGAAACAGAGATCTCCCATCCACTGGCTCACTCCCCAAATATCTTCAACAGCCAGGCTAGGCTAGGCTAGACTGAAACCAGGAGCCTCAATCTGGGTCTCCCACATGGGTAGAAGGGACTCAAGTACTTGAGTCATCCCCCTCTGCCTCCTGGGTGCACATAAGCAGGAAGCTGGAATGGGGAGTGGAGCTGGGACTTGAGCTCAAGCAGAGTTTCAAAGTTTCAGATGTTTCTTTCTTTTTTTTTTTTTTTTTTTTCTGGCAGATTGTAGGCATCAACTTAGACTTGTTGCTAGGAAATGGAATGTGTTTCCCAAACTGAAAATACAACTTTATGATGAGGATAAATGAAGTGAATTCTAAAACCTAGCATATGTATCTTTTGGGTAGATTATTTGGGATTTTGGGAATCCAGCTGCAGGTTTCTTAAGGGCATATTTGAATGAAAGAGTCTCAGCGTAAGAAGTCCTCATTCTGAATGTTTTTCTTTCCTTTACAGAAATCCCATGGAATTATAGTTGGTCCTACTCTGCAATGTCTGTATCTGAAATCCCACATGAAAACAGACAAAATGGAGGAGGTAGGTGAACTCAGGAAAAGGAATCCAACTCTGAATGTCCTTCTTACTCCTCTAAGAGAGAGAGAGAGAGAGAGAGAGAGAGAGTATGATAAATGAATAGACTGACCAACTTACCAAACTGCCTGTTTATCAAATAACTAACCAGGAGAGAAAATACATTTCGCATAAGTAATACTTCATATTCACAAGTACAGTCTGTACTGTTTTCTCCTCTGAGAATTCTAATTTTTTATACTTTCCCAATATTTGGAAGCTCCTCAGGAAACCTTGTATTCTTCCCCCCCCTCCCCGTCTCTCACAACTCTCTCCTGCTGAAGAGAGGTGGTCATTGTGGAAAGTTGCCGAGGCAGGCAGGTCCTCCTGTGCTGTCTTCTGTGTAGAATAAGTGGCTCTGCCTAGGTACTAGGAAGGATTCCCTTCCCATTTCCATGCTTTCCTTTGGGGAGTCAAGGTACTAAAGGGAGTTGGGGTAATCACACTCAACTAACTGTAAAAAAATTTTTTTCAGTCATGAAGTTTTGAAAAAGTAAACCAGAGTGTAGTTGTAGATTTAGGGGAAGGTACAGGGTTGAAATCAATTCACTGATTAAAGGCCACACTCTATCTACTTTACTTTTTGTCACTGAGCAGTTGTTTGATTCATTCCAAGGGCATAGGGACTACTCTCGGAAAGAGGAAGTCAGTAAACTCCCAAGCAAGGGGAGAGGAGGAGTGTTTGCCTACCCTCAGGAAAGCTAACAAAGAGAGGTCTGCAGAAACAAGCCGATTGACAATTTCTCCTGCATCTACTTATGAACGGAAAATATGGAGAAAAGAATATGTTCGGGAGTAGTAAGTTTCAGGCAAATGAAAAATGTGGTAATCATCAACAAAGAACGATTCACCTGAGGCAGGCATTGTGGCACAGCGAGTTAAGCCACTGCTTGCAATGCCCACATCGCAGATCAGAGTGCCAATTCGAATCCTGGCTATTCTACTTCCAATCTAACTTCCTGCTAATGTGCCTGGGAAGGCAGGAAATGATGGCCCAAGTAGTTGGTCCCTGACACCTATGTGAGAGACCCACACAGAATTCCAGGCTCCTGTCTTTGGCCTGGCCCAGCCCTGGCTCTTGCAGTCATTTGGGAAGTGAACCAGCAGCTGGAAGATCTTTCTCTCTATCACTCTGGATTTCAAACAAACAAACATTTATTGATTATCAAATGAGTTACAGCCTCTTTGTGAGGTGCTGACAATACAATGGCAACAAAACAAAGCACAATTTCTGCTTTAGAGGAGAATATGGCTTAGTGAGGTATAACCTTTAGCCTTTAATTAATTTTTAAATATTTATTTATTTGTTTGAAAGGCTGAGTTACAGAGAGGCAGAGGCAGAGAGAGAGAGAGAGGTCTCCCACCTGCTGGTTCACTCTCCAAATGGCCACAATGTCCAGAGCTGGGCCTACCCGAAGCCAGGAACCAGGAACCTCTTCCAGTTCTCCCACATGGATAGCCCAAGGACTTGGGTCATCTGCTGCTGCTTTCCCAGGCCATAGCAGAGAGCTGGATTGGAAGTGGAGCAGCTGGATCTTGAAGTGGTGCCCATATGGGATGCTGGCACCACAGATGGAGGCTCAGCCTACTATACCCTAGCACCAGCCCCTTCTATAGTTTTTTTTAAATTGCAGCTTAGTGAGATATGATTCACATGCCACAAAATTCACCTTTCTAAAGCATGCGATTCTGTAGTTTTTAGTGTATTCACAGAACTCTGCAACTGAACAGAACTTAATTTTAGAACACCCACAAAAGAAACCTGTGCCCATTAGCAATCATTCTCAATTTTCCTCCTCCCCTAATGTCTGGCAACCACTAATCAGCTTTCTGTTTCTACAGATCTGTCTTTTCTGGACTTGACTTATAAATAGAATCATATGTGGCCTTTCGCGACTGGCTCTTTTCACTTAATATTCTCAAGATCTGCCTGTATTGTTGTGTTTATTAGTATTTCATTCTTTTCATGAATACAATTACAGTATTTAGATAAACCACAATCTGTTTATCCATTCATTCATCAGTTGATGGACATCTGGATCGTGTCCACCTTTTGGCTACTATGAATAATGCTGCTATAAACACTAGGTACAATTCTTTTTTGGACATGCAATTGCAGTTCTCTTAGGTATCTGCAATTCATTTAAAGTCTTCTTGCCTTGAACTGCTGCTTTGCTGATTCACATATGTGCTGTGCGGTGCTACGTGATCACCTGCCGAGCACAGACCCTGTAGGGCTCCTATGTCCTGGACAGTGTGCAGGGTGGTCCCATCTATCGCACTGCATCTTTGCCTCTCCCCTGCCATGCAGACACTCCCACGAGTATCATTATTGTCATCAGTACCACCCCCAGACACAAGAAAATTCATTAACAGTTGTTGAGAAGTGCTTAAACACCACCAGGTAGTAATTCAAAAGGATAAGCTGAACCTGTATGTGTTGATGTGGAAATGTCCCCAACATACAGTGTGAAAAGAAAAAAAAAAAGGCAACCTGTAACTAGCTGAACAGGTAGATAGATATAGATACAGTGGGGTCACACTTGTTTCAAAGATAATAGAAAGATATGCACTTAGCACAGAGGTGAAGTTGCTGCCTGAGACACTTGCATCCCACATCACAGTGGTTGGTTCATCTCCTGGCTCTGCTTCCAGTCCAGCTTCCTACTAGTGCATATCCTGGGAGGCAGCAGATGATGGCTCGAGTACTTAGATCCCTGCACCCACGTGGGAGGCCAGGATGCAATTCTGGGCTCCTGGCTTCAGCAGGGCCTGGCCCTGAATATGGGGGAATTTAGAGAGTAATCCTGTGAATCTCAATCTCTCTGTCTCCTCTGCCTTTCAAATGAAATGAAAATAAATAAATACATAAATAGATAATTTAAAAAACATATACAGATGTATATGGATATATTTGAATATCGGTGTCCACAAAAGGAAGGGACCTAAAGGATAACTAGCTAGCTATCAACAGTGGTTTCCTTGGGACATGGGGTAGTAGAAGACATGAGAAAAAGACCTTACATTCTTTTTCTAATATTTCTTGTTTTGAATCTTTTGAAAATGTATTTATATATTACATGGAGTAATTTCAATAAAAGGTGGGGCCAGCATTGTGGCACAGTGGATTAAGCTGCCACTTTGCAATGCTGGCATCCCATATGAACACCAGTTCAAGTCCTGGCTGCTCCAATTCCGATCCAGCTCTCTGCTAATGCACCTAGGAAAGCAGTGGATGATGGCCCAACTCCTTGAGCCCCTGCCACCCACGTGAGAGACCTGGAAAAAGCTACTGGCTCCAAATAGGTCCAGCTCCAGCCCTTGTGGCCATTTAGGGAGTAAACCAGCAGATGGAAGATCATCTCTCTATTTCTGCCAAAAAGTCAAAAAGAAAAAGTGTCATTTCAAAGGGAAAATAATATTTAAAATGTGCTCTTGGGGCTGGCGCTGTGGCATAGTGGGTAAAGCCACTGCCTGCAGTGCTGGCATCCCATATGGGTGCCAGTTTGAGTCCCAGATGCTCCACTTCCAATCTAGCTCTCTGCTATGGCCTGGGAAAACAATGGAAGATGCCCCAAATCCTTGGGCCCTGCACGTGTGTGGGAGACCTGGAGGAAGCTCCTGGCTCCTGGCTTCCGATTGGCCCAACTCTGGCCGTTGCGGCCAATTGGGGAAGACCCAGCAGATGGAAGACTCTCTGTCTCTCCTTCTCTCTGTGTATAATTCTGACTTTCACATGAATAAATAAATCTTAAAAAAAAAAAAAAAAATCCTCTTGGCTGTGGTGGTCAGCGGCCTGCGGGCGGCGCTGTGGCTCGGCCGGCGGCCCCACTGAGCTGCCATTGTTGCCCACCTCCACCAACCCAGCATTTTCGGGGAGGATTCCGGGAGCCCTGAGCCCTGTCCTCTCACTCGGGGAGCACAGGCTCCAAGTCGGGGACTACAAAACGCTCTCTCTGAGGAAGTGGAACGCCGTGGCTGTGGCGCTGTGTGTTGCTGGGCCGTGGAGTGTGACACGCGCGCCCTCTGCAGGGTCGGCTGATGGATGCCTGTCTCAGGTGTCGAGCTGAAAACAAGCCAAAGAACTATGTTGGGGTCTGGGGCGAACTTCATCATTCCTTTCATTTGGGACACACTGCGGAGTGTCCCAGCTGGAAGAGGAGCAGGCACTGGGCCCTCTGCCCGCAGGACTGGGTAGTCGGCCAGTGCTGCTCAGAGCCCTGGTGGGTCTTGTGATCCAGTGCACTGCAAAGCCTGGAACACTTACAGGATTAACTCTCGCAGTAGGAGGCAAGGGGCCTGCCGCCCTCTGGGACTCACATCTTGTCAGTTCTACTTTTAGAAATTCTGGACAATTAAGATTTATGACATACACCATTGATGACAAATATTTGTGTTTCTCACAATGTATGTTTTAAAGTTGCTTTCTTACTGTGAGGAAAGAAGCTGGCCTCAGTTTTATTGTGTCCTGATCACCTCCCCAGAATCTGAACTCCAAACCACGCTGTATAAACTGCTTCTAAAAAACACCTTTGCCTGTTTTCTACAATGTTGTCTAAGTTGGAAAAATGTAAAACAAGTGGCTTCACTAGTTTCCAAAAACTGAGTCATTTTATTTTGTTCAAATTCATTAGATTTTATTTCTTGTAATTATAGGTTATTTTCCCATGGCCTAGAGGCAATTCATTAACTCTCCTAAAAAAAAACCCTCATATTCACATATATTAAACAAAAATATTAAGCTCGGTAATACAAATTAAAAATGGTGGGTTTTTTAAGATTTATTTATTTGAAAGGCAGAGTTACAGAGAGGGAGGGAGGGAGGGAGGGAGGGAGGGAGGGAGGGAGGGAGAGGGAGAGAGAGAGAGAGAGAGAGAGAGAGAGAGAGAGAGAGAGAGAGATCCACTGATTCACTCCCCAAATGGCTGGGGCAACTGGAATTGGGCTGATCCAAAGCCCAGAGCTTC